GGAATGTCAAAGGGTGTCTTATGGAGAAGACATAAAATAATTATTTAAACAAATAATTATCAAGGTACCATGGTGTTATATATACAAAGGGAAACTTCTGTGTTTAGTGAGAGCTTTGGGTCTTGAGCTAGAAGATTCTGGTTTACTTCAGAAATTTAGAATTTGGAAATAAATTTTGGACGTGTTTTCCAACCTCACAGTTTCTATTTTGCTTTCTGTTTGTGCAGCTATTGTGACCGATGTTTTTCAGGGGTCCATGAGGATCTTCACTAAAAAGCTTCCCCATCCTGATCTGGTGAGTGAATTGAGCCTGGGTCTTAGACTGATTTATGTTGCCTGGGGAGGTGTAGGGGAGACAGAATGCTTAGAGAACTGAAAAGGCCGCCTGCCCTGTGAGGGGTTGTACGCAGCACCTGCTGAGTGGCAGTTCCCTCAGGTCCCCGTCTTGCCAGTGCACTGTAAGTTTGGGAGTTAGTGGTCGGATGTAGTCTGTTGATTTAAGTGGTCTGGCCACTGGGTGGTGCTGGTTTGTTTTTCCAGAAAGCTCAGCTAAGCTTTCTAGACAGTTTCAGAGCTTTTTAGTTTGATATAGAAGCAAAATCTCTCTGAAGGAAACCCATCGTTTCTTGAATTTAATCTACCAGGTGGTGCTGCTGCATGCAAGAATACCCAGTCTCTAGGGCACCTCTTTTCATTCCCTTCCTGTGAAGGAAGTGTTGGTGTGACAGAAACATTGTTTCTCGCCATCTGTGTTGTCCTCCTGTTGCTCACACTCCTTACGTCCTTTTTCTTCTCACTCACTTCTAGCCAGCGGAAGAAAAAGAACAGTTGCTCCATAATGATGAGTACCAGGAGACGATGGTGGAGTCCACTTTCATGTACCTGACGCTGGACCTCCCTACCGCCCCCCTCTACAAGGATGAGAAGGAGCAGCTCATTATCCCCCAGGTGCCGCTCTTCAACATCCTGGCCAAGTTCAATGGCATCACTGAGAAGGTAGCGTATTTGCACACCTGCTCTGCTAGTACTTACCCTTGCTCTCTTGACTTTCATTTTCATTTTATACTTGAGAATCACTACATGTATGTGATGTATTTATTATAAAGTTTATTGTCTTTATTGAGCCTCTGAGACTCCCTGGTATTTCTAGCCAGTCATCCCTGACTATTAACTTACAGTTCCACCTCTTGTACTTCTTGTACATTCCTTTTAAGCTTTTTGCCTGCGTCTAGGTAGCACAGAGAAAGGAGAGATATTTTAGGACAGCAGAAACTCACAAAAGTAGGGGAAAAAACTCCCATCTTTTAGAAAATGTTTTGTTTTGTTTT